TGAATACTTTTTGAATGCACTGTAAGTGGTAGTCAGTGCAGCCAATCAAATGCTGCCTTTTTGTGCATGCCCAGTGACTGCACCAGATAGCGATAGCCTTGTCCCCTTGCCACTCCTGTATCTCCACTGGCTGCCTGCACTCAAATGGAGCATCTGATTTGTTCAGCGGCTTTTCACTTGTATTTCCAAGGATTATTTCATTACCATAGGGCATGGCATGCTCACAATGTCAGAAGCTGCCTTTGGCAAATAAAAGTGGATTTATTTGTTTATTTTGTTGGTTAGATATATGTTCTGCCTTTTCCTTCAGAAGCTCAATATAACATACATAGAACTCATTCCTATTTTATTAGATTTACATAGTGCCTGACTCCCAACAACTCTGGGTGAGGAAGGTTGATCTGAGAACCAGAGAGATTGGTCCAAAGTCACCCAGGCAACTTCTGGGGCTGAGGGTGCACTTGAAATTGGGACTCCCCAGTGCCAGTCCAACATTGTAACCATCACACCATACTGAGTTGGTGATTCAAGGTAAATGGCAGGCAAGGAATAGGATAACAGGCCAGCAGGCCAGCAAAATGGGATAATGCAGGAGAATGAAGTAAATGAGTCCCTGGGAGAACATGGAAAGAAATCTGCTAATAGTTTCAGCTTCCTGCTAATCTACCCAAGAATGATGTTTTCCTTGACTTCCTGAACATAGAGTTCAAACCTCTAGTGAAATTAGAGATGTGTTGCATTGATACTGCAATCCATATTTCTGAGAATACCTAAAAAAAACACTGAACTGTCACCAAGGACCAGTGTTAAACACCACCAGCACACTGGGAAAAGGCTATAATGATAGTAGTCTTCATATATCTGAAGAGTTATCAAAAGTGGCCCCAACTTGATCTGCTCTGCAACAAGAGGCAGGATGAGAACTAGTGAGTGGGAAATCATCATTTCACATTATTCTGATGAAGGGTTGGATTAAGTTTCTTCTACAACCTTTTTTAAATTCTACAATGCCAAGGGCTACATCAGAGCTCTGACACAATCAGGAGTCCACATCAACACTACTTCTGAAACACTAGTTCACTACAAAGCATTTAGATTTCTAATTTTAATAAGCTCCATTCTCAGTTTAACATGCACAGCTTCAGAACCAATTATTCTTGCCAAGGTTTGGTATCCACCATCAATGAACACATAAGCCAATCATTAAAATAGCAACTCTATTATGATCTAATGGAAGGTCTATTTTTAACATAACCAGCGATAACTGTCACACTTAACAACAAAAGGGATACATTTACAAAACTTGCAAGGTTCTATGTGCCCTTCAGAAACCATATGCTGCAGCATGTTCATGTATTATAAAATGTTGAAAACTGCGAGGGCAGAAATAGAAAGGGGGATGACTGTCTTTTTCATCAGAACACACACTGGCAGGAAGAATGGCAACAGCAATCCTTTGTTTCCGTGAAGCTCTTTTTCTCTCTCTGTCACCTAGAATCACAGCTTTGAGTTGGGCAGCCATATATATGGTTCAAATAAATGTGAAAATAAGTACTTTCTGCAGTACTGGAAATGATCTACAGACACGGCCAAAAGTTTTGGTACCCCTACACTTTTTCCCCAAAGAATCCCAATTTGCTGTGATATAAGCTGAGATTGACACAAGCAAATGGCATCCACCATTCTTTAGTCCATAGTCCATAAAGCAGACACTTTGCTTCAAGTGCTTTCTGTAGCTCTGAATAAGGCTGAGCAGGGGAGAGAGGCAGGGGGCCTTGAATCTGTTCAGGGCACAATGGAATCAGAAGATTATCAAGGCATTTGGGAGTGAAACAATGCCCAGTGTTAGAAAGCTGTTTCAGTCGCAGGTCATGGATCCTCCAGCAGGATAATAACCCAAAATATATAATTAAGAGAACCCAAAAATGATTGAAGAGCAAACACTGGGCTATTCTGAAGTGGCTTGTGATGAGTCCTGATCTGAATCCAATAGAACATCTATGGAAAGAGCTGAAACTCACCATTGGGAGAAGGCAACGGGATCAGTTTGCTCAAGATGATGGGACAAATTGCCAGTTGAAAAGTACAGAAATCTTATTCAGAGCTACAGAAAGCACTTGACTGCAATTATTGCCTCAAAAGAGTGTGCTGCGAAATATTAGGTTAGGGGTACCATGTCCAAAAATAATTATGTCCATGCCATTTTCATTTATTATTTACATACACCAAAAGCAAAATATCTGCTCTATGGAATAAAGAATGGTGGATGCCACTTAATTGTGTCAGTTTCAACTTATTTCACGGCAAATTGGGATTCTTTGGGGGAAAAGTGGAGGGGCACCAATACTTTGGCAATGTCTATAGGATATTTAAGAGTTGGTGGGGGAGAGAGGCAGAGAACAGTTTAGAAGCTTTAAAACAGCCTTCCCCAACCATTGGCTGGGAATTTGGGAGCTGGAATCCCACACATTTGGAAGGCCCCCGGTTAGGGAAAGCTAAGTCCCATTTACTTTAGATGGGTATATCTCAGAGTGGACATTGAATATTGTGTTGTAATGGACTACGAGGGTGAGTCTTCCTGGTGAATGAGTTGTGAAAGCTACAATCTATAGCACACTTAAAATACAGTGACACTTACCCCCCAAATAAACATGTATAGGATTGTACTGCCAGAATTTTAATTTAGTTTTCCTGTATTTCTCTAGTTTAAGCCAGTACTTTTTGCTTTGTCACTGATAGGTGACAAATCTTTGCAGGGATGATTCATATATACAAAGTCCAAGAGGTGTGCTTGTTTTCTAAACTTTAAGAGTGACTGCTGGAATATCTTATCAGGGTTGGAACCATGATGGGCAAATATCCTTCCTCAAGCTGCGGTTTAATATGAGTGGAGGAAGGGAGCCCTGCCATTAGATCAGGGGTAATTTGACAGTAGAAGAATTTAGGAGCAGAGTATCTTAGACCTTTAGCAGAATCTAAATCAACTCACACATTTTGTAATTAAGCTTTGTCCGTGAAGGAAAAGAGGCCAAGAGCTTCCTAGAAAAAAAAAACCACAACCACAGATTTTACCTTCATAAACCATATGTGAAGTCCCTATTATTATATTTTATCAAATCTCTAGAAAGGTATTTGAGTAACTAATGGAAATGTATCATGTATTGCTTTGTTAGCTAATTTTAAAAAAGGGAATTATGTTTTTTCAAAACAATCCCAGTTAATAGACTTTTCTTTTGCCTTGTGTTACTGCATATACTACTTTGTCAGGATACTATCCAATATATTTGAGTACCAACTATGGAGAGAAAAGTCTCATGATTTCTAATGATTAGTAATGATTAGCCCATCAGTTATTTATTTATTTATTTATTTATCAAATCTGTATGCCGCCCATCTCCCCCAGAGGGTTATTCTTAATAATATAATACTAATAATATTAATTAATTAATTATTAGTATTATTAATACTAAGTCTTTATTCAATACATTCCTGAGTGGAAAATATAGTTTTCTCTTTAGGTACAAACCCTACACTGGTCCTCAACTTTTTCAAATTTCACAAAATACTTGAGACCAAAAGGGCATAACCATCATATATGATAATGTGCATCATCTCCAGCATAATATAATGTGCTCTTAATACAAGCAAATGTCAGGATTATAGATCAGAACATTTTGGGTTACCATATCTGGGCTGCAAGAACCAGGACATCACTAGACCCCAGTAAAGAGATACCTCCCTCCAAAAATCTGCCATCTAGCAGTTGTCTGTATTCTTGAAGCTGAGGTATGGTAGCCCTAGGAAAAATGAGCTACAGTTGTAAAAAACAAATATGCTCTTTGAATCAGCCAATGAACTGAACACCGCTGTCTCTTTAAAATAAACCTCCCACAACAAACAGAACAACGCTGAAGCAGAACAGCCAAAACAGTTAGCCTTCAAAAGTATTTTAAGTTGACGCAAATCTATTGGCTCTTGTTAAAATTGTTCAGACAGATAGCCCCAAGATACTTACCTAAAAAAAGATACTCCTATTATGAAGACAAAAAGGAAAGGTTTTTAAAAGGCACTTGTTTTTGCAGTCAGCTGTCACAGGTTCTAATTTAGAGCTAACTGTATTAATAAAGTTGAAGGAGGAGGGGCCCAAAGCCTGGGGTAGGCCATTCTGTGGAACTGCCCAGTGACAAAGGTGGTAGTCCAAGCTTTCTGTTCCCTCTTAATGAGATACTCTTGAATGCATCAGATTCAACAAGATCTTATACATAAAAACACATACAAACACATTTCTCTAGGTCTTACATTTTGTCGTTTGTCAGTGTATTTACACTGTCTGCAAAACACGGAAAGGAAGAGGGTGCATACTACCCCAATTTATATCATGCTAACTGATGCAAGCAGTTCTATTCTTGGAAGGAAAAGAAGAGTTGCAGTCAGGATACACTGAAGCACTGCACAGCCCTCTTATATGGCATGCACATACTAGTATAAAAAGTAAAAGATCTCCGCTGGCGAAGCTAGGTAGAATTGGGCTTGAACCTTGGAGAGTTACTGCCAGTTGAAATAGATAATTCTGGACGGGGTGGACCACGGGTCTGATTCACAAGCCTTTTTTTGCACAGACAAAACCTACTCTTCAATCACTGACATGACATGAAGGATACTTATAAGTAAAAGCAATTGTTTTATGGCATTTTACAGTTTAATCATGCCTTCTTTATACTCTTGGTTTTATCAAGCTGCTGTTAACAATTCATTCCCTAGCTAAAAAAAATCTTCTCAGTTCTTAGATTTTAGAAATACTTTCAGTCCCAGAGTCATTTAGTTACATTCTGTTTTAAGATAAATTGAAGGATATCATCTGAGAGTCCAGGGATTGCCTTTCCTTTCTCTGAACCAGCACCAGCATTGACAGGAGTCAAAAAGGAGATGTGGTTGCTGGGAGGCTGAGGAAAGATTTTATTCTCCTCTCGGTTCAAAACCATTTGAGCAATTTGGAGACTCTTCACTGTAAATTTCATTCCCTCTTTGCCTGCAAGATCTGCAGTCTTACGAGACAGACACTGTGAAGTTGATTCATATATTGGACTCCCTCCAAATGGCTTCTTCTGGCACCAAGTACTGTAGAACATGTCCAGAGATTTTCTAAGTGTGGATTCTCCTTCTTCCCTTTGCTCATGAACGCCAATTGCACTAGGTTGAAGGTGCTCTGTATTCTTGCAGCTGGTAGGCTCTGCCCTCTCACGGAGACAAGGCCACAGAGTGATATTGGCTTTGGCAGCCAGCCCTGGGAAAAGCTGACTACTGGACTCGGTCAGGAAATAACCTGGAAATAAGAAAAATCAAATAGAAAAAGCTGATCAGTGAATCCACTCCAATGACCAGCATGTTATGCTTGTGTATGGCCCAAATTCTAATCCATGACCAACCTAGCAATGACAAATTTTGAAGCAAAACTCCAGTTTAAAATTCCCTTGGGACGAAGCAGGAAGGAGCCATCCACTCAGCAGGCAAGAGAGCATTCATACGCTTCATCTGTAAAGTGTAGGCACCTCTGAGCTTACCAGTGCCAGGAAGATGAATGGGAAGAATTTCTTAAATTGGCCAATTCAAAGGCCTGGATCAACAGGAAACTATACATCCCATGTATACCGGTAGAAAAAGGGCTGCTTCACAGACCCAGGAAAGAGTCCACATGAAGGCACCCAACCAAGTTTGCTTGGAAGGGAGGAGCACCACAGAGATGACAACAGGTCTCACATAATTCTTGAGGTTCATTGTGTTGCCTTAGGAATTCCCTTATCTCCAGCCTCACCCTCCACTAAAGGTGTTTATGGGATGACATAAGACAAATGTAGAACACTCTGTACTGAAAAGTAAAATAGCACTTTTTAGTACAGAGTGATTTATATTTGTCTTATAGGCAACAAGAGACATCAGATGCCCCAGTCACTCCGTAACAACTTCATATGTGATCCCAATCTATGACCAATGTTTATGATGCCACCGGGGATGAATATTCATTCCAGGATCTCATCAATATTTAGAGCAGTGTTTCTCAACTTAGCAACTTTAAGATGTGTGGACTTCAACTCCCAGAATTCCCCAGCCAGCCATGATTTAGAGTGACTCCTTCCCTGTCAGGCTCTTGCACAGCTGGCTTAAACTCTTCTCTTGTTACCAAACAAAACATCCATTGCAAAATGAAATTTTACTCTGGATTTGCTAGGAGTCCTTTTATTACTTGAAGGCTATAGCTGAAAATACATGAGCTTCCCTGGGGAAATAAAAGGCTTAGAAATAGTCTCAATTTTTCTTTGAAAATGCAGATGATTCACTTAATAAAACTCAATAACAATGTAGTGTAGGAGTGTTGCCAGTAGTTAAAACGTTTTGTTTTTTATAAAAGTATACACTCTGTAAAGAAAAGAACCATTGGTGAACTATTTGATTGCAGACATAATGACCACGTTCAGGTTGACTGCATTGTTAGTAAAACAGCACATCCATTAAACCAGTTATGCATCATACCAGATTGTATGCAACAATGAAACTCAAAGTATATCTTACATTGAGCTATGTCTAATTTTCTCCACTTTTTTAAAATACATGAAGTGACTATAGATAACTGAAATGTTAAGTTACGCACAAAAGAGGGAAATCTGTTATTTAACAATTTCCCTATGACTTTTTAATGTTTTTCAAAATTGCACATACCTCTCCATTGCTATTTTTCTTATAGAAAGGGAATATGGATGTCAGTATAGAGAACAGCCATCCGAGCACCAATCCAATAAGTGGCTCACTGCCAATACACTCTCTGCTGCTTTCTCTGCCAATTACTTTCCTGCTGCTTAATTATCCCAAGTTTTAAAGTGATTTACATGTCTAGAGCCTCCTCCTCCCTCCATCTAAGAAAAGAACCTGGTATAGATGTGAATCAAATTAGCCACATTTTTCTTCTTCTTCCCCTTCTGGCTTTTAATCATCTTGCCTGATGAAGATGCTTCTTTGTTTTGTTTTGTTACATCTTCAGTTCAGCTAATAAATAGCCTATTGCTCCCCCCTCCCCCTTACAGGTGTTTGCTAGGGAGCAGCAAGACAGACAGCTAAGTTTCCACTGTATGAAATATTAGCCCATCTCCTCTTCCCCATCTTTCTACTGTAGATAATACAACATAGGCCAAGGTAATCCAAACAGCAAGGGGAGTTGGGAGGGGGGAGGCACCGAATGCTCTAAAGATCTATTAACTAAAGATTTTTAAAAGTAGGAAAACTGTGCACAATGAGTGTATTAACATCAGCCAAATAAATCCTATACCAAAATATCGGCCTACAGTATATCATTGTTTCTCAAACTTGGCAACTTTAAGATGTGTGGACTTCAAGTTCCCAGAATTCTGGGAGTTGAAGTCCACACATCTTTGAGTTGCCAAGTTTGAGAAACACTAGTCTCTATGGATATGTATGAAAAGTGTACCAGAGCAGATAGACTGGATTCCTTAAAAGTTTAGAACAGCCTGTTAGGCTGGTCAGAGGTGAACGAGCAAAGACCATTTGTAAAAGCCATTCTGTTGTGTTTTATGCTGCTTGGTGGTGCAGATTCAAAACTGACAGGTGTAAAACGAAGGGCCAAGGAGCTCAGGTTCACATATATACTGGAAGCTCGAGAAAAGAGTACTCAGTATGCCAGAATCTGTTTTGGAAAACAAGAACTGGCAAGGACGTGGCAAATCCACTCTTCTCATATGTATCTCCTGAAATGCTGGCTGGAGCAAGACTGGAAGGGATGCACAAAATGGAGGTGGAATTTTATGCAAGGTTTTTCAGAATTAGACTTGTCCAGTTCAGGATTTGGAACAAAAGCAGGTCCTTTATGTGATAGCCTGCACTTGGCCATGGCTTGTTGCTTGCTGTTCAGTGTCCACGCAGATGCCCAAACAAATGCTTTGTGCTGGTTTTACTGCTAAGGAGAAACTGGGAATAGTTTCTCATAGGAAGCACTCCCATCGAAGAGAGAGGGAGGGGCTGGAAACACTGGGCTGGCATTTGTGATGGAGACCTACTTTATCAGAGGAACTAAGGGAAGGAGAACTGGGGGAAAGGAAACTGAGGTAATACCTGACAATTAAGATGAACCTAGACAGTTCTGGCTGTTGAAGATTTATGGTTTTAACAAAGAACAATGTGGGGTGGTAAACTTGAATTGGATTCGGCAGTGTTTACGCTGCTAAAGGCATGTTAGTTCCTAGGCAAATCCAGAAAAGATTGCTGAAAAGAACTCTTGGGCATGAACAAAAATAAGGGGTTTGCTTGATTTTATGACTAGTTGTTTGAATAAAGGGACAAAAAAATTCTGAAATGGTGGTTTGTACTAAGTTGTCTATCAAATTCTGAGAATGACAGGAAGTCCTTGTGATACGGTATCTTTCCTCACCTTAGCTTGGGGGAGACTGGTTTTGAAAAAGCACCCCAATCATCTCCTCTTTGACACTTTTTTTTGTGTGTGTAATATTTTAAATGTAGCTAAAGCCTGAATTAGATAGGCTCCTCTTGCCACATCACATTTTCTTTTAACAAAATAAAGAAAAATATATGAATCCCTATTACCATAGAGAAGCGTACACATTTTTATTCCTTATTCAGATTTCTCATACAGCTCTGCACAAATAAAAAAAAAAAGGAGTAGAGAACTGACTTCAGTTTCATCTTAAACATATCAACAAGAGTAATTTAAAGAAGCAATCAGAAGAAAAGCACTATTTATTACTGACACTGACCCTAAGACATGACTGTTAAGTATTTCTTCCAACTGTGAAGATTGCTTTTCAGGTGTTTACAATACATCTCTCAGGTCCAATAAGTAGTTGCAAGTAACAGACACTACTAAATACTTAACTGCTCTTTAACAGCCCTCAAGCCAGCTTTTTAGCTATATTAGAAGAAGATTCCATACCACAAATGACCACCAATCCTTGTTTTTGCAGCCTCCAGAGCCTCTTCCAATTATGGATGCCTGAAAACTGGAAATGGTGTAGGTTTTTTAAATAGGAAACACACTAAAACACCAGTATATGGCCTAAGACCAGCTGCATTTAGCGTTAAAGAACAAGAAAGACTGCCCTCGATCCCAGGAAAACAAAAATGCCAGACCTTCCATTGGCACCTTCATCTTTCCTACCGTGGCCCTTTGGTCCTTCCACATTAAGACAGGCCCTCACCCCATCCCACAGCTCCATTAAGAAAAACTGTGCTCCAAATCCTCCAGCCTTTCCATTTCAATTGTATGGAGGAGGGTTATGAGTGACAGTGGAGTACTTTGAATTCAAAAGCAAAATGAAGTAATCACCAAACCATTTGCTCTTTCTATTGGGTTGAGGAATTTTGTAATGACACCATTCATATTTGGGATGAGAAAGCAAATCCCTATCTAGAGTACATAAAGTGGCATTTTCCCTGAAATCCTCATAAAAATTAAATCCTAAAAAAACTAAGATGAGCCCTTCCAGATCGATGCAACGGGAGGCCCATAGTCCATTATCCATTTTTTCCTCTAAGACTAACCAACCAAACTACCTTTCTGCCTCAAGACAGAAGGGTAAATCCCCCCTACATGGCTTACATAAGACTTTTGTTCAGGATCCCCTTTTAAAAAAATAACAACTAGACATGGTTGCTAATTATGAAAGTAGGCTGCTAAAATGAAAACTGGGGAAGCAGGAGGAGCCCAGAAGAGAAATCGGCACTGGAAAAACAATACTTGGCCTGAGCCACACGTTCAGACGTTCCCTGTTTCTTAACCCTTAGGTATTCCACAATCACCCTGAACCACCAATGTCTATTTGACTCTGCATGGGAAACCTTGGGGTTCGGTTCAAAAACAAAGCTGAACCAAAAAACCTGGTGTGTGTCTGCCTGACCCAGTCTTCATCAGAAAGGCCAGCCACAGAATGGCAGGTGATAGGCGCTTTCTTTTGCAGTTGGCTCTGGATACTGAATGCCACCATGTAGCAACCAGGCCTTCACCCAGGTTCAGCAAGATGGAAAAGGACTCTGAAGTTGTCCTTTAGTCTCTTCAAGCCTATTGCAACAGTAAAGAAATGATTTGCCATTGCTGACTTCTGGGGAAATGTTTCAATTTCCCAGTCTTGCATAAAGTCCTGGAATTTCTGGACTCCCATCCACTTATTAACCAGGTCAGACACTGTTTAGCTTATCAAAATCAATCAAAGCTGACTGGGTGTTGACATGTAGCTGGAGAAGAAAGCTTGAGTTTTATGGCTAAATAAAGACTTTTTTTTTTTTAAGTCTCCAGTTATCAATTAGGAACTGGTAACTTTAATATTACTGCGAGACTGAGTAGCAGAGGAAGGACACAAGAAGATAAAAGGGCTCTGCAATGCATAACATTTTTTTAAAAGTTTAAAACAATGCTTTAAGTTTTTAAAGAGCCAGAACAGTATACTGCAGTGGTGGCATGAATATTAGTAATTAGCGGTCTAGATGGGATGCAAGCGTACTCACCAACTACTGTACAGCAGAAAGAGGGGCAAGACTTCTGAGCAGGACTGTGACACTTCGGGCTATCAGGGTGGGGCAAAGCAGCACCTTGTCATCTGCCCAGACATTAGCACCAAGGATTGGCACTGTCACCTCTTTCATCGCTATGGCTACTAGAGAGGGTGGCTTGCTTCTCAAACAGACAACCCTTTGCTAATCTGTTGATACTGGATGGCACAGTGCCCTGAATCAAGGCTCCAAGCTCTACTTGAGAAGCTCTAAGTTCTCAGCAACAGCTCACACTGGGGCACCAAGTCTGGTCAGTAACATTTTTGTAAACTTAGTAAAAGCAAGTGTTGTGCTTACTGGAAATGATAAATGTAAAAGAACACCTGAAAATATATAAAATGGCCTTTTGGGGAAAACTCTGCCTTCTGTTTCTATTCTGGTGGCAACCAGGCTCTTTGACAGAGGAATCAGTAGTAGTAAGACATGAAAGGTCAAGAAAGTTAGCACTGTGAATAAGGTATTGGACGTGAGCCTGGGAGATTCAGATTTAAATACTAACTCAACCACAGCATTCACTCGGTGGCTTTCGGTTAGTTATTCTCTCAGCCATGGGTTATTGCTCAGATGATAAAATGAGAAGTAACCCCAACAGATGCTGTCTTGAGTACCCAAGGAAAAAAATGGGATATACATGCAGTAATAAGTAAAATAATCAATGACCACAAATGTGATACAGTCTAAGGAGAAACAACCTGATGCTCCAAATACAGTGGGGCAAAAAAGTATTTAGTCAGCCACCAATTGTGCAAGTTCTCCCACTTAAAAAGATAAGAGAGGCCTGTAATTTTCATCATAGGTATA